CAGAACCCAGAGGAACACCACCCTATGGAGGTCCATCCTGACCAGAGCAGTAAAAATGAACCCAAGAGGACACGGTGTCTGACACAGTGCAATGTGTCAGTTGCTCAAGAAGGATGCCTTGATCCCTGGCTCCAAAGCAGCTTCAAGGTAAGGAAGGACAAAGAGAGGGAAGGCAAAAGGGGCAGACAAGAAGAAAAGAGCACAGAGCATGTGCAGAATAGTCTCAGGAAAAAAGCAAATCAAATCGTTCGCCCAACATGCCAACTTGCTGATTTGAGGAACTATTTGGTGCCCCGACCACTCTCTTCCTCTAGCGCTGTTTAGACAGACTCCAATTAATCTCTAGGATAGATTAGATAAGGAGCTTGTATGATTTAGAGGCAGAAGTGAAGTGTCTTAATGGAGTGCAAGTGTCCTAACCGCATCTCGGAGCCCTCCCAAAGGTCTGTTTCCATGAGCACTCAGGTAACTTGATGTGTACAGCTGTGCCTGAGTGGCCAATGCTTTTCCTTTTCCACTGCCCTTTAGTTTTGATATTGCAATCAATAAAGTGACCCAAGTGCTCAAGCCTCGTATATAAATATCAAGAGCAGAATACACAAAGGGATAAATGTCATGGTGGATTAGAACATCAGCATACTCGCTGCATTAACAAAGCAGGCGCTGCGAGGAGAAAACAAATGTGATGCTTGATGTTAACCATGTTGTGGTAGAGAGAGACAGACCTTGGGGATCCTCCCTGTGCTGTTTAGGTGACATTCTGGTGATGGTGTACTTCTGGCTTTCCAAGCAGTGAGGCTCATTCTGTGCTTTTGGATGTGGAAGTGTCAAGGAGATTCTGGGTGGCTCCTGGGGAGATGGCTGTGTTGGGTGGGGGACCCCGTGCAGAGGGAGCATGGCCCTCTCTTTCCAAAAGAGCTCAGGGAGCTGGAGCTAGTTTGGATGGAGAAAATACAATCTAAGTGACAGCAAAGCCCCAACCCATCTTGCCATCTCGAGATTCATCTCATGCCACTGGGAACCCCTGGAGGTTGGCGCTGGGCATAAGAGCCTTTGTCTCATGGCTCAAAATCTCACTTTCTGACTCAGAACCCAGCTGAAGGCTGTAAATGGAGACCCTCAGCCAGAGCCACTTTGAAACTAGCAGCAACACTTCATCGACAAGGGAAATGGCCTGGCACCTCTTCGGAGCCAATAATGGGAAGAGAAACTGGATTGCCTCGAACCAGAACCAGGTCAGCCTTCTTGATGGCAACAGTTTAAAACTCTATCTCATTGGAAGGCACTAGATGGTGCTCAGGAAGAACCTTTTATTACCATTCCTGTTATATCTTCCAGGCAGAGCTGCAGCACAGAGAGGAGGCATTAGTTACCCCCAGAGGATTTCCTGGATGGCGAGCAAAGTCCCTTTAGACTTTCTCGTAGTGCTGCAGAAGTTACAATATGAGATGGGCCTGAACCCAGTCCCTGCCTCAATGTTCCTCTGAACTTTGGTGTGGCCAAATTCTGGACCCTATTTTCTGGGTTGGGCCCTTCCCCAGTCATGATGAAATGCTGCTGTAATGGAACTTGAAGCAAAGGCCCATGCACCTGTAAAAAATGTGGCCAGCCCCTCCCTCATGCCTGCTGCATGTGCAGAGAGAAGATGGATAACTTACTCCGGGAAGATGACAAGGAAGGTCAGCTACAGGAAATCGGGTCTGCTGGTTGTCTCCCACTAAGCTCTGTCAGATGTGACCATGCAAGGTGGGAGGAGGGAGGGGAGGAGCCCTAACAGTTGCAGATGCACATATCACCCAGAGGCAGTTTTCTGGTGTGTGCGCACCACACAGCACAACAGCTGAAGGAGGAGGTATGTGCCTCTCTGGCCAGCCCCTCCGGGCTCATCTACACTACCCACCAGATCGTCAGGCAGCAATCAATCCAGCAGGAGTCAATTTATCATGTATAGTATAGTATAGTATAGTATAGTATAGTATAGTATAGTATAGTATAGTAATAAATGACCACCGAGCACTCTCCCGTTGACTCCGGTACTCCACTGGAACAAAAAACACAAGACAGAATTGACAGGAGAGCATCAGCTATTGACTTGGCACCATGGTATGTAGGTCTAAGTACACTGACTTAGCAACGTTATTCATAGCTGAAGTTGCATAGCTTAGATTGGCAGCCCTGGTAGTGTAGATCAAGCCTCACTCAGAGGAATGTTTATGTCTGTGTGCTGGGCTGATAGTATGGCATTCAGTGCCTTGCTACATCTCTTCCATTACTGCCTGTGGGTATGTCTACACAGCAGGGCTAAAGTCGAATTAAGCTATGTAACTTGAGCTACGTTAATTGCATAGCTTAAGTCAAAATAGCTTAATTTGGCTTCTGGCACTGACTACGCAGCAGGAAGTTGAAGGAAGAGCACTCCTCTTTCGGCTTCCCTTACTCCTCATGAAATGAGGGTCACAGGAGTCGGAGTAAGACGTCCTTGACATCATTTTGAAATAATGGCTAGCAGTGTAGATGCGCTCTTTGTTTTTTTGGAATAATGTCAGTTATTCCCAGATAACGCTGCTGTGTAGACATACCCCGGGAGTCCTGCACTCACTATTCTGGACTTTCTCCCGTCATCAGCTCATCCAGCATGTGGCCTGAGTCTTATGGGATCCTCATCAGGAGACAGGTCCTTGACAACTATATTCACGGCTCATCTCTTTTGTCACATGAATGTCTGTCCCCCCTCTGGGCTAGCCAATGGGAGGGGGGCGGAGTTGGGGGGGGAGGCAAGGACATATTACCTTGCTCACTGTGTCAGGTGGTTCCTTTCCCAAGGCTGCACTGCAGCGCTGGGGTAAATGATGCTGCAGTCAGCCTTGCCATTAGCCTTGCCATTTCCAGTCTTCCATCACCTGTGGTGGGCTTGGAGGTCTCGATCCTGCAGATCAGTGGGAGCTTTGCCTGGGAAAGGACCCGCAGGCTTCCAGATTTACTCACCTTTGTGGTATGAGCCCCGTGGCTGCCTTTCTGCTGCGTGGCGTCTCAGTCCCGCCCACTCCATGTGACAGGGTAGCCTGGCATTCTGCTTTCTTTGTGGGAGGGGTGGGGGCTGTTCTCCTAGCAGCCCTGTGAGATGTGACGATTACAATCCCACCCTGGCTGGCCCCTTCATCATCCCTGGTGAGGCTGTGGAAGAAGAGGTAGCACAGGACGGCTGGGTAGCACCGCCTCTTGGCTTCAGCTGGGTGCAAAGTTTTTTTGAGGCCACATAGGGAGGATCAGAGTCTGGGGGTTAAATCTTTCACTCTCCTCCCTCATCCCCATTTTATTCCTCTCACGCTTTCATCCTTCCCTCTCTCTGTTGCTCTGCCTCCCACCTTCCCTTGCTCTCTTTCTCTGGCCCTAGAAATCTTCTCTCTTTTCCTCTTGCACCCTATGTTATCTTCCTTTCATAACCTCATATGCTCTCTCCCCCTCTCCGTCCCTTTTCCCCCAGGCTCCCTTCTCCCCTGTTTCTCCCTGTCTTTACTCCATGCCTTCTCAGCACAGCCACTGGGACATCTGGCCTTGGGGCCCTGTCCTCTCCAGTGTTACTGCCCTTAAGAGGAGGCCCAACTATTCCTGTACGGCGATGACGATCGTTTCACTGTCTGTATAATGAGATTCTTTGGACAACGATGGCCTCTCCCTGGGGCCCTGGGAAATCACCCCACTCCCCAGATGCATCTCATCTTTCTAAGGCATCTTTGCGGCTGTTGCTACAGACGTTCAAGCTCTAGGACAAAAAGCAGCGAAGGGCTATGAGTAAATGGAGATCCTAAGACTCGTTCCCTGCCCTTTCCTTTCACTGCCATCCAGGAGCCTCACTTGCCAAGACCCTAATTGGGCCAGACTTTGCTGGAATGGCTGTGAGTAGCATAGTGGCTTTCTCCACAGGTATATTTAATTGGCTGTGCCGCCTGCTGCTGCTGTGGCAATGCCCCAAGAGACAAAGCAGGGAGCCCTTGGCTCTTTGAAATGCCGACCTTTCCCAGGACACTTTCCAGCTGGATTCTCCTCTCTTAGGAGCTGGAGAGAGGGGCTGAGGAGGCAACATGTGGGAAGTCTGAGTCGAGAGAAACCACATGGGAACAGGCAGAGAGGGACCTACTCAGACTGGTAACTAGGGCTCAGCAAATAAGTGATTTTCAGGGGGGTGGCCGTACTAGAAATCTGAAAAAAAAATCAGGAAACTTCAAACCAAAGCTGATTTTTTCTTCCTCGACAAACACACAAACCAAAAAACTGTGTGTGGCAAACACAACTGTGAACACTGTTTGGAAGGGACACAACAAAATGAACCACATGGACTGTTTTGAATTTCCCCCCTCATTTATTATCCAGCCAAAACTGATTGTCAAATCCAACCCAAATTCATCAATAGTTTTGGTCTCCAGAAAACAATTTTTTTGGGCAAACTTTACTATCCAGCCAATTTTTTTCCCCACCTCTACTGGAAATGTTCCCTCCTAGTATGAATTGTGGGAGCCACCTCTTCAAATGCTTATGCCGACCAGTCAAATTGTGTCTGAATCCCATTGAGGTGAACAGCCACGTTCAAACCGCCTGTAAGCACTGGTTTTAAAATAGGTATGAGGAGTGCTGCTGCTGGGAATCCCAGCCTGATCCTAGAAAGAAGCCTGATCTCAGAAAGACGTACAGTGTATTTCCCTTGATTTCCATGTGAGTTAAGGGGTGTTCAACTTCGCAGGTTCAACACCCTGCAAGGGCCCAGTCCCTTGCAGGATCAGGCCCATATGTGAATAGGCGGCGGGAAGAGGAGAAAGAATTCCACCAAAGACATTGAAAGTGACATTTCACAGAGAGCTACAGTTCTATGTGATGTGGTTATGCCTTGGAAACGGCATGGGCCTTGCACATGCTCACAGAGCCTCTGACAGTTTTGACTCGTTGTCCAGCCTACGGTGAGAAATACCAAGTGTTCAACGGTATTGGGCCCGTAGTGTGGGCTCAGACTAGTATGGGCCTGGAGCCAACCATCTCAAGCACAAACGTCTTTATTGTACACGAGATAACAACATGACACTCTCTGAGAGCCAAATACCGGCGGCACAAAACACGCAGGAGGCCTTCAGCCCCGCAGATACATCCAGCTCACGCTTTGCAGACAGATAGCCACACAGGTTTGTAGCGTATGCAGGGCGCTTTGGGGAAATCCTCTCAATTTAAACTCTCTGGGCCTTAATCCCTGGAGAGGTCTGTGCTGTCTGCTCAGAGCCGTACGGAAATGCCCGACTCTTGCAGTAGAGATTCTGCCAGCCTTCAAGGACCAACACCTCTGATTCACCCAACAATTCAAGGAATCCCCTCCCTTACCTTGATTTGGTTTTCCATCTGTCTGTGGAGAGTCCCCGTCCCTGTCCCCCTGCTTACACCCACCACAGTTCCTGCATCTTGCAGCTGGTACGATTCCATCCAAGGAGCCTCATTCAGAAATTCTCAATGATCACAGCCAGCCCTTAAGTACAGGCCATAGGAAACCCTGCTTTTGCCTCAGAGTGCTGTACTAGCAGCCTCTAACAGGTCTTCTCCACCTCTCCTGTCTGTGATTCAGGCTCTCCAGGTGGGACCTTGCATCCCCTGCAAGTTCCATAATCAGCGGGGCAGATTCAGCTCCCTCTCTGGCCGCAGATCCAGAGGGGACAGGGAACTAGTCCCTGACCTAACCCTGTTCTCCCTTCTCCAGCAACCAGAGTGGAGCCGGAGCCACCTGGGGCCCATTGCAGTTTGGAACCCATCCAGGCTCTAATACCCAGGAGATGCTACCCAGTGACACCACACACTCCTGCCTCGGAGGCTGAACTTGCGGCCTCCACCACAGGCCCAGCCCCGACTGACCAGGGGAGTGAGGGACGTTTTGTTTTGCGCCTGGTGTGGGAAGAAAGGAGCCGTAAGGAGACCTGCTCACCTAGCAGGGCGTGGGGCACTGGCCCGGACTGAAGGGAAGATGAGCAGCTGCTTTGGGGATTTGGGGTAGTTTGGTCTCCATGTTCACCCCTTCCCAGAACTCTCCTCGCTCAATCAATTCCATTTACCAGAATGAATTGGAACCAATCTTCATTGGCTACCCCCTCTCATCACCCTTCCTCCTTCCCATTTCCTGACCCAAATGGAGGGTCATGCCGGATCTGTTCACCCTTCATGAGAGGAACAAGACTCCTTAGCAAACCCCAAACCCTGTTCCTTAGCTCTTGCTCCTGCCTCTTCAGGGAAGTTATTGTCCAAAAAGGACAAGTAACCAGTGTTCCCTGTAAGCTTAGCGCTTGGCTGGCCGCCCAGGAGAGATTCAGATGCTCAGAGCCATATGGGAAATGCCTGGCTCTTTCAAAGCACCCACAGCCAGCAGCATATGTTTCTATTGGTGGTGCACATCTGCACATGCATGGGTGTACTTAAAATTTATTCTGCACATGGATGGAAAAAAATAGAGGGTACATTGTGAGTAACCACAACAAAAGTTCCCTTTAGCATCTACACAGGTGAATTGAATTCCATGCTGTCAAGACAAAGATCTCTTCTGGGGACAAAGATCAGAAGAGGAAAGAGTATGTTACAGTTGATTGCCTAGCTACCTAGATTTATCCTCCAAGGGCAGAGGACAATATTGGGAGATTACAGTACGGTCATGGGATCTGTGTGTGCTTACACTAGTGCATGTAGTTAGAGAAATAACTGTGTGTCTATGTGGGGTTGCCTGTATGTGTACTGGTGCATGTGGCTATAGGTGAATGTGTTTTGTGTACTTCTGTACACACACGTGCCTACAGATGTATGCATGGTTTCTGAAGAATGTTTGTGGTTGTGTGTGACTGGCTGTGTGTTGTTGCATGGATGAGTATGTGAATATGAGAATCTATGCTTGTTGCACTAGGGGCTATGAGTCTTGCTCTGGGAGCAGGAGGCCCTAGGTTCAAAACCTAAGCATGGTGTGTGTGTGTGTGTGTGAGAAACACTCTGGTCGTAATGTTTCTTCTACAACAAACACATCCACAATAGTCCCTTGTTTAACAAGCATCTTAAGACTTTCCTGACAGTGTAATCCCCAGCACTTTGCTGATCCATGCCTCCTGTTAAACCCCTCTAATAGGTGAAAGTACCTCACAGAATGTACGGACATTTTGGTTTTAATTGGTAGTATCATCATTATCCTCTGGAAGTCCCTTAAGCAGCTGCATTTTCTCAGCACGACTGTCTCACCTTCCCTTTCTCTACACATCTGCCTTTGTGCACGCTGGCTTGTTTGGAGGAATCTTTAAAAAGCCGCCTGTGACGGTCCCTAATGAACATGCAGATTGACGGGCACAGAAGGAGTCTGAAGGAGCAGCATGAAGGAAGCAGGCTCAACTGGACGACTATCTACAGATCAGGTGTAAGGAGCAGCAGCTTTGCTCAGCTGTGTGAAATGCCTTGAAGCAGTACAATCGGTACAGCCGCTCTCTGCCAGAGGGCCTGATTTTGCTTGCAAATATAGAGAGACGTCTTGTCAAGGCCCCAGCATCCAGTTTCTGAATATTCATAGGCTGGCCAAGCAGCATAGCTCACCGCAGGCACGTTAGGACTTCACCACGAAGTCCAGAGGCTCTTGGCAGGGCAACTGACTGCAGGAGTTCCCTCGCTAATGCTTTTGAGCTTGTTCCTCAGGCACTTTGAAGGCTGCTTTGCTGAGCATTTCCTTGTCTTTTTGCTTCTGGGATTTAAGCATAGGCCTCAGTTAGATCAGTTTTCTAACCACTCCCTTTTTTAATGAGGTTCAAGTCTTAGAGCAAGAGGGTCCAGATCGGTTTATTTCCCAGAAACTATGGTCAAACAGCAAGGACCCAGTTGGGATCCTCTTGCTAACAGCTGGTCTGGCCTTTGCTCGTCAGTGCCAACAAAATACCGTCTGACGACTTTTCTCTCTTCTTTTCTGCCTCTTTCCCCCTTTCTTCTCCAAGAGGATCCCGGTGCTTTGTGTGAAATAAAAAGGAGATCCCAGGTGGCTCCTCAGGGGGCCAAGGAAGCAGTTATACTGAAGCTCTTGGAGCAGGGGCAGATTGAATGCAGAGCCCTGCAGTGAGAGGGGACTCCACTGCGAGTCTCCAAAGTGGGAGCCTGTAGTCCATGCACTTCACTAAGAGTTGTCAGAAGCCCCTTCTTCTCCACAGCCCTCCGTACTTTGTGTCATCCCCAGAAAAGACCTCCCAACACCATCCTTGGGAGTGACCGTTGAGTTCCTAGTGAACAGCAACCGTCACAGGCAGCGTGTGTGGGGAAAAGTCCTCCAGAAACTGAGTCTGCTGAGTGGATTCTGGTGCCAGCTTTAGGCACACACTGGCTTCGGTTGCACTGTTGTTGTGAATGGAACTACTGTTGCGGAATTGCTCCTTGGCAGGACGGATGGCCACCATGAACTGGCGCTTGAAGGTCTCACTCAGGGCGATGTAGAGGAAGGGGTTGAGGCAGCTGTTGGCATAGCCCAAGCTAATGGCGAAGTTATAGGCATAGAAGAAGGCAACAGAAGGCGTGTCAATGCCGAGATGCACCAGCTGGAGGATGTAGAAGGGCGCCCAGCAAATGAAAAAGGCAGAGCAGATGGCGACTGCCATGCGGGTGACTTTCTTGGTCCGTACCTGGAGGCTTCTCTGGGGTAGAGGGACCACGGTGGTAGCCATGTGCTGGAGGATCTTAAAATAAACAACACAGATGACAATCAGTGGCACTGCAAAGGCCAGCATGAACTGGTAGAGCGTGAACCAGTAGACATCAGTCTCGGGATTGGGAAGCAAGAGAGCACAGCGGACAGTCCCATCCTCCAGAGGCATCAGGCCTGCGTACATCCACACGGGAATGATGATCAGGAAGGAAAGGAGCCACACCAAACAGATGACTAAGGCCGCTACGCATGGCGTCCGGACAGAGGTGGATTTCAGAGGGTAGACGGTTGCCAGATAACGGTCGAGGGTCATCACAGTCAGGATGTTGGTGCTGGTGATCTGGCTGTTAGTGTCCAAGGCGGTGATGATGGTGCACAAAGGAGCCCCGAAATACCAGCCACCATTACCCAGGAGTTGGTGGATGAGGAAAGGCATGCCCAGCAGGAAGAGGAGGTCCACAATGGAGAGGTTGAAAATGAAGATGTCGGGCACGGTCTGCTTGCACCTCAGCTTCTTCTTCTTGACGATGGTATAGATGACGATGAGATTCCCGACGGTGCCCAGGAAGCAGATGATGCCGAACAGACTAGGCATGATCACATTGGTGTAGGGGGCTGCCCTTTCTGCCACTGCCAAAACAAACCAGAACCATGAGTCCGGACAGCCTGGGCTTCAGACCCTACTGTGTCAATACCCCTGCACAGCTGGGTCCAACCTCAGCCCAGAGATGGGTTTAAGAAATTCCAAAATTGTCCATGAGGACACTAAATTAGGGGTAATGCAAATCTTTTCCTGTCCTGCCCAATGCACGTGGCACACCAGCTTACCTTCTCATTTGCATCCACTTTGCCATGTAAGCATCCCCATAACATACCTCAGTGATGACTTGGGAAAGCTATGGCAATGTACCTCTGGGCTTGTCTACACACTAACCATCCCCCCATTGAGCTAATAGTGTAGCTGAAGTCGATGTACTTACTGTGGTGTCTTCCATGCAGTGGGGTCAGTGAGGGCTGCTCTCCCTTTGACTCCAGCTACTCTTCTCATCCTGGCAGAGTACCAACAGGAGAGTGCTCAGAGATCAATTTATCGTGTCTAAGCAGAAAGCGATAAATCGACCACCAGTGGATTGATCACTGCAGTGTACATCCGGATCCACTGTGTAGTGAAGACAAGCCCTTTGTTCTGACCTACCTCTAGCAAGAGGCCTTTAAAGTTTCTCCTAAATACGAAGGCCAAGGTTTTCAAAAGTGGGTGCCTAAAATTAGGCCCAAGTCCATATTTAGGCACCTGATTTACGGCAATGCTGAGAACCTAGCTGAAGTCAAGGGGAGCAGTAGCTGCTCGGCACCTTTGAAAAGCATTCACTAGCATTAGGCCCAGATAACCAAATTCATGTTCACTTATTACATAGATCGGATTTAGACTCTAGTCTCTGTAGGTTAAAGGCCGAATGACAATGAAAACCCGATTTCTCCGCGTGACATCCCAAATCGGAGTTAGTGTTTGCTGAGCTCACTGTCTTGTCAGGAAGCGCCATGTACCACATGTGCAAAGAGAAAAGTCTCCAGCTGAGGCAAATCGCATTTCATTTCATTATTTCTCTCCTATGGGGTATAGTTTCCATGGGAAGTCATTGTGTAAATTATTTGTGTGCCTGAAGAAATGACATGCACTGCAGTTCTAGCACCCCCAAGCCCTCCCTGGGACTGGCTCTCATTGAATTGCAGATTATTCCAACTGATTTTAATTGGGAACACTTTTCAATTATTCTCTTCTTCTGTCTCCTTAACAACTTGTTCCTGCAGAGATCTAGCATATGGAGAAAGTGGGGGACATGTACAATAGAACCCGGAGAAATAAAAACTAGCAAATATGTCATGAGATTTTTCATCAAGTATTCGCTTCCTCTGAACAGTAGATACCCACTTGATGGCCAGTTAAAACTCAAGTTCAAACTGTTGTCTGTTGCAGCAGAGTAAATCTGGATTCACTTGACAGAAGTCAGTGAAATAACTCCACATTTACACCAGGGGTGGGGGATCAGAGAGAAGGCTCAGAGCCAAGACTAGCAAAACAGACTTTTCCACATCGGTCGTGTCACGTTTGTGTTCTAGGGAGCAGAGAAGTGACGAGTCCTTGGTGCTGCTCTGCTCTTGACAATGGGAAGCCTCAGAATTAATCATAAACAAAGCCAGATAGGAACATTTTGAGTCTCTAAACATAGGCATCCTATCTCGAGCATCTGCACAGTTGACAGAAAGCAACCAATCAGTCACTGACAGGAAGAGCATTGTCACAGGTAAAGCAGACTGGTTTGCAAAGGATTCATATTTGTATCTCCAGCAAAGACAGCCCCCTGCTGCTTCATCTGCTTTGGGTTAGAAATTGAAATGAATAGTGAGGCTTTGTCTGGCTGATGTTTTAGGAACACTCTGTCCAAATCAACTGAAAATATATTATCCATAAGAAAAAAAATCCACACGCCTGTAAGATTTCCCTGCAAGCACATATACCCCTACCTACAATGTTCAGCTCATAATAGAAATAATTTTGGCACAGGCTGTTTCTAGGGGATTAACAACCCACTGAGCTTAATAGCCCCTGTCATGGCTGTGCTTGAAGTATATCAGTTCCTCCCGGTTGGTCATTAATCCCCAAGTAAAACCCTGTGCTCTACGGCTGTTCTTTAACTAACAGTCTGCCATTGGAACCCAATTGAGATCTGTTGTTGCTCCCACATGATCAAGCCTACACATCTCTGGAGCATCCACAAACTGGCCTCCCTCTTTCCCAGGGTCTGGAGGTGGGAGACTGGATGAATAAGACTTTCCCCCCAAGCTGCTATGTAGGAGCTAGTATGAGGGTGCCCCCTCACCCCTACTCCCCTCTTACAGAAACAGGATTGTGTTATTAAAACATTATTTAATTGGCTGGGAGTTTTAATATAGTGTACTTTGCTGGTGTACCACTGAGGCTTTGAAAGTGCTCGTGGTGGTTTTGTAATGTTTGGTACAAGCACAAATAAGCTGATAGCAAAGTTTGTATCAGCACAACGGCCTCACATAAAAAAAAATATTTATCTAGCTCCTATCATCCTGAAAGATCCCGAAGAGCTTTGCAAACTTTATATTTAAAGCATAGCTAAAAAGCAGCCCGTGCTGGGATGGAGGACTGTATGTATAGAATCACAGGACTGAAAGGAATTTTAAGAGGTCATCAAGTCAAGTCCTTTACACTTATGGAAGGACCAAGCACAATCTAAAACAGTGGTGGGCACCCAGTTTGCAAGGGTAAACCCCTGGCAAGCCACCATTGGCTGGGAAAAATGAACCATGGCCAGTGGGATCTACCAGAGACTGTACCAGCAGATGCAAGGTAAACAACCTATCTGGCAGTCCGCCAGTGGCTTAGACCAGTGTTTCTCAACCAGGGTATGTGTACCCTTAGGGGTACGCGAGAGAAGTCTGGGATGTACATCAACACAAGTGAAATTTGGCAAAAAATGTCCAGGATTTTGCCCAGGGGATCAGGGAGGGGGCAGCAGTACATGCCTGTCAAATTGAATGTTCGGAGCCATGCACCCAGATGTTAACAGCCACTCTGCGCTCGTGCCCCAGTGCCTGGTGGGAAAAGCACGTGGCTGCAGCAGTGGCAGTGCCAGTGAGACCCAAAGTTCAAAGTTGCGGGGGAGGGTTTGGCCAGTAGCGTAATGAGGGATGAGCAGGGGGGCAGGGGCCCCAGGGACCATGCTAGGGGGGCGCCAGGCTGGGGTGGGAGCGCACAGCCCCACTGGCGAGCCCAGTGCTGGTGAGCCACTTGCTCTCTGCAGACAAGCCACCGAGGCAGGACCGAGTGGCGGGAGTGGGCACTTCAAAGGTAGGGTTACCATACATCCGGGTTTTCCCAGACATGTCCTCGTTTCTCATGTTAAATTGCCATCTGGCTGGCTTTTTTAAACCACAAAAAGGGTATGTCTAGACTACATGGCTGACCGATCCTGTAAGCCTCGTTTCATGAGGCATAAGGGATCAGTCAGCAAAGGCTTCCCCAGCCGACTGATCCATATCTAGACTACCGCGCTGTGCCGGATCAGCTGATCGTCGGCACAGTGCGGCGGCCATGTTTATTTTAATGAAGTGAGGATTATTTAAATCCCTGCTTCTTTGCCTATGCCAGGTAAACTAGTGTACATGGCTCCGTCGATGGAGCCATGTAGTCTAGACATACCCAAAATGTACAGGATTTGGGAAAGGGGCAGTGGCAACTGCCTTCAAGGGAACGTTTGACTGTCTTTCAGAGCCGCGTGCCTGGAGTTTACAGCTACTCTGCGCATGCGCCCCAGTGCATGGAGGGAGAAGTGCGTGGGGCTGCCTGTCTCTGGGGGAGGGGTGGGCCTTGGGTTAGACTGGGGGTACTTATAATTTTTTTTAAATGGGTACTTTATAAAATAAAAAGGTTGAGAAACACTGATCTAGACCATCCCTAGCAGGTGTTCATCTAACCTGCTCTTTAAAATCTCCAATGAGGCTCCGTGGGCAATTTATTCCAGTGCTTAATCACCCTGACAGTTAGGAAGTTTTTTTCAACTAAACCTCCCTTGCTGCAATTTAAGCCCATTGCTTCTTATCCAATCATCAGAAGCTAAGGAGAATAATTTTTCTCTCTGTTCCTTTTGTAACAACCTTTTAGGTACCTGAAAGCTGTTATCATGTCTGCTTTCAGTCTTCTCTTTTCCAGACTAAAGAAACCCAATTCTTTCAACCTTCCCTCAAAGGTCATGTATTCTAGACAAATCATTTTTGTTGATCATCTCTGGACTGTCTCCAATTTGTCCAAATCTTTCCTGAAATGTGGTACCCAATTAAGGACACAATATTCTAGTTGAAGCTTAATCAGCATGGAGTAGAGTGGAAAAATTATTTCTTGTTTCTTACTTATAACACTCCTGTTAATGCACCATAGAATGATGTTTGCTTTTTTTACAACAGTCTTACACTGTTGACATATTTAGTTTGTGGTCCACTATGACCCCTGGATCCCTTTCAGTGGTACTCCTTCCTAGGTAGTTATTTCTCAATTTGGTGTGTGCAACTGATTGTTCCTTCTTAAGTGGGGTACTTTGCATTTGTGCTTGTTGAATTTCTTCCTATTTACCTCAGATTATTTCTCCAGTTTGTCCAGATTATTTTGAATTATAACTCTATCCTCCAAAGCACTTGCACCCCCACCCAGCCTCGTATCGTTTGCAAACTCTAAGGCTACGTCTACACTGGCATGATTTTCCGAAAATGCTTTTAATGGAAAAGTTTTCCATTAAAAGCATTTTCGGAAAATCATGCCAGTGTAGACGTAGCCTTAGAGTTTGCAAACGATACGAGGCTGGGTGGGGGTGCAAGTGCTTTGGAGGATAGAGTTATAATTCAAAATAATCTGGACAAACTGGAGAAATAATCTGAGGTAAATAGGAAGAAATTCAACAAGCACAAATGCAAAGTACCCCACTTAAGAAGGAACAATCAGTTGCACACACCAAATTGAGAAATAACTACCTAGGAAGGAGTACCACTGAAAGGGATCCAGGGGTCATAGTGGACCACAAACTAAATATGTCAACAGTGTAAGACTGTTGTAAAAAAAGCAAACATCATTCTATGGTGCATTAACAGGAGTGTTATAAGTAAGAAAAGCACGTCTACATTGGCCACAGACGCTTTTCCGGAAAAGGGCTTTTCCGGAAAAGCAGCCTGCCAATGTAGACGCTCTTTTTCCGGAAATACTTATAACGGAAAACTGTTCCGTTTTAAGCATTTCCGGAAATTCATGCCAGTGTAGATGTAGCCCTGGCGAGTTTTTCTGCAAAATCAGATGATCTTGCGGAAAAACTTGCCAGTCTAGACACAGCCTAAATGTGTATTCTATGCCAATATTGAACAGAAATAGACCCAGAACTGATCCCTGCAGAACCCCACTCATTATGCCCTTCCAGCATGGCCATGAACCATTGATAACTACTCTCTGTGAACAATTATTCATCCACCTTATAGTATCTCTATCTATGTTGAATTTCCCTAGTTTGTTAATGAGAAAGTCATGCAAGATTGTATCAAAAGCCTTACTAAAGTCTAGATCCGTGGTCACCAACCGGTCAATCGCGATTGATTAGTCGATTGTGAGGCCTCGACCAGTCAATTGCAAGGTGTTCGGGTCCCCCACCCCCATTTTCCCTCCCACCCCTGAGAACCCCCACTACCTACCTCCAGCGACAATGGAGGTAGTGCTGGCTTCCAGCAGGGTGGACGGAAATCCTGCAGCTTCGCACCACTTCCGGGGGGTCTGGAAGTGCGCTGTCTGCTCCCTTCCCACAGGTCTGTGGAGTGCTGGGCGCACTGCAGGAGGGGGCATTCTCCTCAGAGGAGGAGCACGGCAGCTTCACTGTGCCACGGGGGGGTGAGTCAGCCCCAGGGCAGGCATGCGCGGGGGTTACCCTGCGCTGTGGAAGGGGGAAGCCGGGGCCAGAGGAGGCACGTGCCGGCTTCCCTCTGGGGGGGTATCCTGGGAGGAGGTGGGTGCAGGAGACTCCCTGCCCCCACTGGACCCCCTCCTCAGAGGAGGAGCACGGCAGCTTCACTGTGCCACGGGGGGGTGAGTCAGCCCCAGGGCAGGCATGCGCGGGGGTTACCCTGCGCTGTGGAAGGGGGAAGCCGGGGCCAGAGGAGGCACGTGCCGGCTTCCCTCTGGGGGGGTATCCTGGGAGGAGGTGGGTGCAGGAGACTCCCTGCCCCCACTGGACCCCCGTCCCCTGCTGCAAAACCCTGTCCCCTCTCCCTCACTGGCACCATGCCCCCTGCTGCAGAACCCTGCCTCCTGCCCCCACCCCAGAACCCTGTCTCTTGCCTTCACTGCCACCCTGTCCCTTGCCCCAGCACCCACTAATACCCTTCCCCAGTATCACGGCCCCTACTTCCACCAGCAGAGTTCGGGCCACATTAGTGAGGCTGGAGGGTGGGGGTGGAGGAGGGCTTTTTTTTTTGCATCTCCCTTGTGTGGCCCCAATTGACTTTTCTGTGGGTCAGTGACCCCTGACTCAAAAAGGTTCCCTGACCTTCTAATAAATAAAGACAATGCAGAAACTTTGTATTTGACATAGTATTTTATTTAAAAATGAAGCCTGGCCAATAAACCCCCAGTTGAGGCCAAGCCCCCATCTGGCTGCAGAATCATAACACTCCTGCACACACACACCTAGATCCTAGATCTGAGCCTATCATACACTGGAATCCCCTGCCCTGAGCCCCTCACATACCCCAACCCAAATTCCTGCACCCTCAGATCCACAAGCCTATGGTTTGCTTAGTACCGTAGCCCTCCATCTGACCCCAACACTGCCCGGCCTGGAGCCCCCTCCCCGAGCCGGCGTCCCCTTCTCCACCTCCTCCTGCATCCAGATTTCCTCCCAGAGCTTGCACCTCTCACCCCTTCCTACCCCCAAAGCCCTCATTCCCACCTCAGAGCCCACACATCCTGTCTCAACCCAGGGAGGGTACGGCTAGACTGCAGGATTTTTTTCAGGATTCCAGAGATATCCCAGAAAAACTCTTCTGCATCCAGGGATGTGTTTGTTCTTCCATTTTTTTAGTAGAAGAGCAAACATGCTCTTTCGGTAACCCCTGTATATCTCATTCCATGAGAAATAAGGGGGCTGCCAAAATAAGAGTTTTTTCTGACATTTGGTCCAGTCTAGACAGGCTAAATGTTAGAAAACTC